TTTTTTTAACATCAGGTTAATGTGAGGGTACAAACGACTAGTTCACAATATTTAAATTTCTCAGGTAGAGTCCCTCTAGTAGTTGTGTCCTGCATCCAAAAGGTGTGCCATAAACCCCTACATTGTGCCCACTAAGTGGGGGCACCCTAACCCCCCCTTCCTTTCTCTCATTCACCCTCCCTCCAACTTGAATTGAACTGAGTTTTTCTTCTTTGTGGGCATGAGAGAGGGGGATTGCAAACTAGTACAGCCTCTTTGGAAAGAAGTATGGAGAATCCTCAAAGGACTCAAGTTAGACCTCCCAGTTGACCCTGCAATCCCACTGGTAGGCATCTACTAAGAAGAAAAAAAATCATTTTATCCTAAGGACATTTGTACTAGACTATTTATCACAGCTCAATTCATATCACCAAGATGTGAAATCAACCTAAATGCCCATCAACCCAAGAAGGGATTAACACACTGTAGTACATGCATGCCATGGAATACTATTCAGCCATAAAAGGATTGTGACTTTACATCTTTTGTATTAACCTGGGTGGAGCTGAAACATGTTCTGTGTTGTTGTTTTTTTTAATCCCTGCTGGGTCTGTGAACCCTCTGAAGAAAATAATGGCCACCGAATACTGGATACTTCTCAGTTAAAGTATCACAAGAATGGAAAAGCACATATCCAGTGTACTCAATATTAACGTGAAGCCAGTAAATGACCTTATTTCACTTTCAAGAAACGTAGTCAACAGCATCTTTCTGATTCACCTGTGCAAGCTTTAAATTATTTGACTCATTGGTGTTTCTGGGAAAGTTTCATCTGTTTCCATCTGTGGAAATTTTTTGTTTCTTGAGTTTTGTATATCTCCAAACTTTCATAATGACCCACATAGCACAGAGGAAAGGAGGAGCCCAGAAGCAAAAAAAAAAAAGAAAAGAAAAATACTGAGTGTCATAGTCTGTGTGGGTCTCTGTGGGCTGCTACAACAGAATGCTGTAGGCTGGGTGGCTTGTGAACCTTGAAGTGGTGGGCGGCTACAACAACAGACTTTAAACTAGGACACCTATCAAGCTATTTCCTGTTTTGTTTTTCTTTTATGATTTCTGCTTTTAATATCATGCTCACAAAGGCTATCCCATCTCAATATTCAACACGTATTTACCTATATTTTTCTCTAGTGCATTTTTTTCCTTCAAATTCTTTAAACCATACTCAATTTATCTTGGAGAACTTGTGTCTGTAGGGCAGGGGTCCTCAAACTTTCTAAACAGGGGGCCAGTTCCCTGTCCCTCAGACCGTTGGAGGGCCGGACTGCGGGCCCCAGGACGAGTCGGCTGCTAAGCAGGACAGGCAGCGGCGGCAAACACACCCAGTGGGCCGGATAAATGTCCTAGGTGGGCTGCATGTGCCCCGCAGGCCGTAGTTTGAGGACGCCTGCTGTAGGGGAACAGCTTTGCCCTGATGTCTGTGTCCTCATACCTCATGGTCATCTTCACAGGCCACAGAGGCAAGACTTGAACTGCAGTGGCCTGAATCTTTGCAGAACACCCAAGACCTTCCTGGAACTTGAGAACGTGGAGGTGGGGTGGAGCTGCTGCCAGGGCATTTCACACCTGCTGCCCATCACCTCCTGGTCTGGGAGAGGAGGAAGGCTTCCTGCCTCCCCCGTCCTTAGTGCACAGCTGGAAGTTTTGAAACTTAGCTGTGGCATGACCGTGGCTTCTCTGCATCAGGCTGGTCCTTTTCATTTGTCTTTCCCTGCTCCAGGGTCCAAGGGCCCTTTAGCTGCTTCCTTCACTGACAGGAATGTAACTAGAGGCTGTGCCTTCTGTACTGACAGGATCGATCAGCTTTGCTTTGGCCTTGTGCTTGTTGGTAGCAATCTATTTTCTGCTAAATGTTAGTAAATTTTCTTGATCCGTCTATCAAATAATTCATTCTTTTGCTCATTTTTTTATCTTTAAAACAATTTTTTATATGTGAAATTATTTTGTACTTGTGTTTGTTTCTGGACTTTTTATTATGTTCCATCCTACCCCCAATCTCTCTATTCTGGGCCAAGACTCACACTAACTTTTTGTACGTTTATGACCCATTTTAAAATGGGTAGGGGAAAGGAAAACCCTACCATTATTCCTGCTTGTGTGATTTTTTTTTTTTTTGGATGCTCATACAGATTTTAGTGGAAAACTTTAAAATAATTTGGTCAAGGTATCAATTATATAGGTTAAAAATATGCCAATCCACTGGAATGTCATGACATCTTTTGGGTGGAGAACTGGTATCTTTACACTACTGAGTCCTCCTACCCTGGAATAAATGTTTCTTTACATTTATTAAAATCTTTTTTAATTGGTATTTGGGTTTTCTTCAAAGAGGTCCTATACGTTTCTTATTAAATTTATGACCGGGTGTTTTACATTTTCTGTAGCTATCATGAATGGGATCATCTTTTTTCTTACATTTCCTAAATGGTGTCCGTTTATTAAAGGATTAAATAGGTGAGGTCAATGGGGATGGTGGGTGGGGGTGGCCTGGTGGAGAACTTTGGTGTCTGTGGGGCCCATTGCCACAGAAAGTGCTTGGGTGCTCTGCAAGCTTTGCCATTTCTATTCTTTTTTTTTTTCTTTTACTGGTAACTTTTTCTTCCCTGTGGTTTCTTTGAAGTCGACCCTTCAAAAGAACGATTCAACCCCCAGTTTTTATTGAACACGTCCCCTGGAAACAGGCTTCTGAGACCGAGAGTTACACTTTCAAGGAGGTGTGCGTGTTGAGGAAATCTCAAGAGGACATTGGAACCCTCTTCTCTGGGAAAGTCACCTCACACTTTCCTCAGACTCTGACACATTCAGAGCTGGTTAAGCTCCCAGGAAGCTGCTTCCTATTGGTAGGACCCTTAGAAACCATTTCTCTGTCTCTTTTTCAAAGAGGAGGCTGAGATTATGATACAAGGGAAAGATGACCCTGGAGAGGAGACCTGGGAAACGCCAGGAGTGTGGATGGATTTCTTCCTCTTCTTTTTGTCACTTCTGAAAGCATCTCTGAGAGCCAGGCCAGGTAAGAGCAGGACATGTTTAAAAATGAAAACAGAACTACCCGAAACAGCTTTCTGTATAAAAAGACTTCAGGAGAACAGATGTAGTGGGAGAGAGGGAGGGTTCTGTGAGCGTGCGACTTACCAAAGGGGCTGGTGATACATCTAAACAACAACATAAATAGCAGCACAAACAACACAGTTTTGCGGTATGGACCCTAAGTCCTGAGGGAGAAGGAGGGCAGATGAATAGAGGGAAGCTGAGGGTTAGCTCCACAGAGCAAGTACCTTTTGAGTATTCTTAACCTCTATTTTTTTTGAGTTTCTGGGATAGGTTTCTAACCCTAGCAACTAAGCAATGCTTGTCCAGGCCATACCTGACCCAACCCAAGTATTCAGAGGTCAGGAATCTTTTATTTTATTTTATTTATTTAATTTGAGACAGAGTCACACTATGTCGCACTGGGTAGAGTGCCGTGGCATCACAGGTCACAGCAACCTCAAACTGTTGTGGCACCCAGCTATATTTTTGGTTGTAGTTGTCATTGTTGTTTGGCAGGCCTGGGCTGGATTCGAACCCGCCAGCTTTGGTGTATGTGGTTGGCACCCTAGCCACTGAGCTACAGGCGCCAAGCCTAATACAATTTTTTAAAGATAAAATTTTAGTTACGAAAATCTTGGCTAACAACTCATGGCTCTTGCATCATAGCAATATACCAGTGCATACTGCACTGTATGAGGCAGTTTTTAGCCAGTAAACCAAGAACTATATTGGAACACCCTCTCTACTCACCTGATCTGGCTCCCAGTGACTTTTTTCTTTATCCAAAAATAAAGGAACTATTGAAAGGAAGACATTTTGATGACATTCAGGACACTAAGGGTAATAAGTCAGTTTCTCCAGAAAGAGTTCTAAAACCGCTTTGAAGGGTGGACTAGCTGATGCATTGCCTCCCAAGGGGAGTATTTCAAAGGTAACTGTAGTGATGATATTCAGCAAAGAAACACTTTTTCTAGGATAAGTTTGTGAACTTAATTGTCAGACTTCTATGCTATTGCCTGTGCTATAAATCTAAAAGCTAATGATACGTTCGTGTGTGTCCTGGAGGTTATGTAATTTTCTTTTACTTGGAAAACCAGAGGGAATGAGAGAAAGAAGTCAATAAAGTTAGCTTTACTCTGATTCTTCCTGAATCTTTCAGGCTCAATGAGGGAATCTGAAACAGGTAGACTTTAGAGCAAGGCACAGTTCAGTTTTGGAAATCTGGTCATGCCAATCTTCACGTCATTTTAAGATGCTCATACATGACTTATCATGTATTAGCTGGATCACATCACTCAGCCTGAGCTCTGTTTTAACTTTGAATAACCCAGTACGTCCTTCCTACCTAACAGTGATGTTATGAAGATAATAAATGTAAAGATATTTTATAAATTGTAAAGTTGGAGATAAAAATAAGGTTTAAAGGTTAATAAAGGCTTTTAGAAAATACTAGTTAAATATACAAACTTTTGTTTCAGTAGGTCAGTTTGAAAAAAATGCACAGCACAATATAAATGTGGAGTCCAGTCTTGGACTCCATTTCCAGTTCTGTTCCTGACTCAGGCTACACACAACCTGCGTCCAAGTATAAATGTGGAGTCCAGTCTTGGACTCCATTTCCAGTTCTGTTCCTGACTCAGGCTACACGCAACCTGCGTCCAAGTTTCTAGTGGGGAAAATACTGATATAATTAATGTGTTAATTTTGCTTTAAAACATTTTATCGTCAACCTTTCCAAGGCTCATCATTCATGGCTGAGGAATCCTATGAATGGGTCTCTATCTGTAGAAGGCCCAATTTCCAATCCCTAATTTTCTATCAAAAAATGATCCTTGTAAGTCACAGCAGGATTAGGATTCCTTAATCCTAACAGTACTGCTTTTAGTAGAACATTTCCCACAGATATACCCTCCAAAATAACAAACAAAATCCTATTTCCAAAGATTTTATTTTATGCATTGTTTGATCTGAAACTTCCCAGGTTCTGCACCTCAGGCACGTCAGTGTTCTCTTTCAGAGAAACGTGGCAGGTGAGTGTCCAGGCGTACACAGGTGAGTGCTACATGCTTCCCAGAACTGTTTACACAGCTCTCCTCTTCAGCCAAGGGGGAAAGGGCGCCTGCAGAAGTGAGATACATGGTACCAGTCCAGACACACACTTGAGGCACTTACTGATTGATGACCCTTTCATACCAACATGTGGTCCAAAAAGGAATCCTTCTAGTCTTTTATCATACCTTTAAAGAACACATAGAGAAAATACTACAAGTGAATCGACCTTAAATCAATGTGAGAGAAATGAGGGGGGAAAAGTTAATGCACAAAGAAACACAATATAAAAATTAAATTGCTTAGTAGCAAAGTTTTATAAGCTACATAAGCTTTAAGAAAAAGTTGGGGACACAGATTGGTTATTTAGATTACAAACATTTATTACAAGTAGGTTCCCTTTTCCCATATTAAAAAGAAAATATAGGAAAGTTAGAGAATGGAGACCAGGTTAAACCTATTCCAAAGTCCATTATCAAATAAGGTATCTCTACAGAAAAAGATATTTTGGAATTCAAAATTAGGGAAACCTATACACAATTTAGACAAGGAAAAAGAAAAAAATGATCCTTCACATTTTACAGTCTTTAATTAAGCACATAAAACTGTACTACTTAATATATTTCTCCATGAACTTTTTGTGAAATTCAGATCGCAGTGTATCATTAACAAATCTTTTGTCTTTCTTCTGATCATCTACACCTTTTGCACAGTTCTTGAAGACAACGTCATCATCCCATCTGAAGGGAAAAAAGAAAATAGAATGTCTTAAAAAATTTGCATCAGGGGAAAAGAATACCATGTACCTTGCAAAGCTTAGTCATTCAGAGCATGCTCATCACATACAGCACTGGATACAGCAATTATACCCAAAGAATAGAGTAATTCTCCATGCCTAATCTTGCCTTATACAGCAGGAAAGGCAATTCTTGTTTAGAACAAACAAAACATTCTTATTACTTTTCCTATAAAAGAAACTTTTCAACCAAAAAGCAGAAATACTTAGATTTTAATTGCATAAATACTTAGTCTTCAGGTCTAAAACAAAGAGGCAGCAGCTAGGACTGCCCTGGTATTATTACAGACGAAAGTAACTCATCAATTTCTGTGATTTAATACGACGTATATTGGGGTATAATAATTAAGGGTTAATCTTCCTTAACCAAAGAGAAGATAAATTGACAAGCTCCGGGCAGAACTCTGGTTAGATTCCATACTGCATAAGCATTCAAGAAACACCATGGGTAAGCTATAAAATACATGTGGTATAGAAAACAAAGTACAATTGCAGAATATCATCTAGCACATACAACACAAATCCATATACATAATATGGAAACTCTCACAAACATAACTAAAATACAAGCCCATGTAATATGTGTGTGTGCACACGAATGCGTGCTGAGATCCACTGCACAGGGGAGATAAGCAAAGACTTGGGCACCACTGGACAACAGTGTTGGTAAAGTCATCCCTGACACAGTACACAGAAACATAAAAGCTGAGTAGATCAATACAACTGGAACATAAGACATGTTTCCATCTCCAAATCCATCTGTATCCAATAAAGGCAGAACTATACAGCCTTTACTTAGAAAAGCCTGTTTCCAAGCCTGGAATTTGAAAACCTGGATTTCAGGAATGTTCTCACTGCCACTGGTCCTAGAATATATAAATAATGTGGTGCATTCTGAATACTTACATCCCTATTTTGAATCTGGATTTTAGTATATGTTGGGCATATGGTCTCCCCCTCCCCACAAAAACTTGGAGCACTGAGGCTCTCACGGGCTCCCCTGGGAAGAAGCAATGCATACATGTCACCATATATTATTCAGGGCTTAGGGAGAGGATGCGGGAGCAGGTGATGGACAATGAACTCTGTAGGAGCACTAATGGGAGGGAAAGAGCATAGGGAAGAGGAAGGCTGCACACAGATTCTTCCAGTCTCCACTTCTATCCTCTCCCCTTAGGACCTAGCTGTGTATGTTTACTATCTTAGCCATAAGTGTAAGTATATACAACTCCTTGACTTCTTCTAGTGAGCCTCTGAATGTGACGGGTGGTCTTGAGAATCCCAGACACGTACACTGAAAATGTAAGCCTTGTAGGGGCAAGGGTGCAGTTCCTTACTCTGTCCTTAGTGCTTAGATTATTATCTGGTACACAGCTAGTTATTGTAAGTACCAGTTGAAAATAAGTTTATTTTCCTTCATTTACCTTCTTTCATTATTTCAGTCACTGATAGAGAAGAATATCAGTGACAGATGGGGTTTTAGAAGGTTTACATCATGCTCTTTGCTTTCCAACTTATAATCTGGGTGCTTGCACACAGACAGACACAACCCATATACTTCCAACCATAATCCGGGTACGTGCACACACACCCCTAATTGCTGAACAGTACCTTCTTTTAACTTTGAAGTTGGCCTGAGGCTGGGATGGGCCAGTGAGATTTAAGAGAGGATTTCCACTCAGAATATTCTCCATACGAATCCTTTCTTCTTCAGCTTTTTGCTCTTGTTCCTGTCCATGATAAAGGAAGAGTCACATTAACTCTGCGTTCTATTTTCTTATGTTAGCTCACTAAAAAAGAAAAAGGATTGCTAGGATTTTATGGGAAGAAAACACTGAGGTAGTTTTTTTTTATTTTTTGGTTTTTAAGACATATTAGAAAAGTCTCACTTATCAAAAGACATTTAGCAAAACTATTATCTCAATTTTTAAACTGTGATGAAAAATATTATTTTGGATTACTAACAATACAAACTTGTATCTTTAGATTTGATGACTAAAGTTATTACTAACCAAGAAATAACTCATAAATTAAGGCAAGCTACCATGTAAAAATAATTCTCAGTTAACAATCATTTCTACTACTAATTTACCAGAACTTTTCTGTTTTGTTCTTGTGATTTATTCTTACCCCTCTCATATTACATCTGTTAACACAGGGTCTTTCTTCATTTTTATTTTAGTGTCAATGTCTTCAAACTCAACCTCAGTTCCATTCTTAGAATTAGGAAAATAAAATGTGTAAAATTCCTAGCTATAACTTCTAGATCTCCTGTCAAGCTAGCCTAAATTAAACTCCATTTGGCTGTGTTTTGAGGATGATAGAAATCAGTGACTTAACACATCAAGGAAAAAGAGAAAGTCATTTTAAAATGAACTTTTATTTTAATACCCTAATTTTTCACATAGATTACTGATATTTCATTTTAATATTCAAATGTGAACAATGAATTTCATTTTTATGAGGGCAAATAACTGGGCATAAGAAGATACAATATGCAGGGAATACATAAGAAAATTCTTTTAGGTCACTGCTCAGACTTAAAATCAGGAAACATCCACCAAGATTAAGAACAGATAGCTTTCTAAAATTTGTTTATCAATTTTTAACAAATTATACTTCTGCTTAAAGTGAAAAAACATGTTTCTGAAAAAAAATAAAAAAGCTAAAAAAAATAGGAGCTCAAGTATACAATGTATCCAAAAATAGGAGCTCAAGTAAACTTCTAATGATAATGTGTGTGACAAATAAAGGTCTTGGCCTTTTTCTTTGGAATATTATTTCCTTTAGAGTTACTGGATGACTGCCACACACAATCAGGTGAGGGTCAAAAGACCTCACCTCTCCCCTATTCAAATTCCAGGCACCTTGTGCTTCATGAATAGGGCAGAAGTTACACAGCCTTCAGGTCAAATCTGAACCACTCCATTTTTATAAATAAAATTTTATTGGAACATAACCACACCCATTTACTTATGTACTGTCTATGGCTACTTTTGTGCTATAACAGCAGAGTTGAGAAGTTGCAACAGAGACTGCATGGTCAGTCAGGCTAAAATACTTACTATTGGGCTCTTTATAGAAAGTGTGCTGACCCCTGACATAGGCTAATTGGTTTGAAAACCTGATTTCAAGAAACCTTAAGAACGAACCAAGGGAAGGGGAAACAGGGATGAAAGAAACAAAGCTGTTATTCAACCTCAAGAAACATCAACACATTTTTGTACAGAGATTAGGTGAAACTCACAAAACTTCTGCACAATCTTCTGTCTAAAATGTTTACCTTCTCTGGTAATAGCATCCCTGGTTATAAGGCATAAGGTCCCTCTTCACCATGCCGAAATTAGCAAGGGGGACTCCAGCCCGCAGAACACTGTGACTTACTCAGGCAGTAAAGTGGAGTCAGGAATGGAAAGTGATAAAGATTTGCTTATAATTGTCAGGGCAGAAGCAGAGACCCTGGGAACTAAAGCGGTATTCTCTACTGGGAGTAGCAGTTGGAAGTGATTACGTGAGGGCGGGGTAGGGGGGAAGCACAAGCTGGTGACTATTAGGTTATAGTGACCAAAACAAGAGGCTGTGCAGGTTTAAGTTAGTTTTTTTCAAGTCCAAACACCCTTCTATCCCCCTGCTTTAACTTGTTGGGCTGACTGTTTGCAATGACATTTCTGTTTTTCCACCTGGATCCCTTTTAGGGTCTCTTGGGGGGAGTGGCTGTGGTGTTAGAGGGAGCTTGCAAGGCTCCCTCTGGAGAAAGAAGAGAAGACCTTAGCAAAGCTTCTTCTGCCCGAAGCACATCTTTCCCACAGCAGTAGCTGAATCTGCTTGTCAATGTTATCCTACTTATAAAACCAGCTTCTTTGTATCTCTCAGAGATTCCCGCCCCAGCCAGCCAGTGGCACGTCCTCAGAGATTTTACTTTTAGCTCTATAGGACTCTTATTATAAGTTTCTAAGATTAATGATTTTAACCTCTTCCCTTCGTTCCATCAGTTGAAGGGTGGTGGCTACTTCCTATGTGTGCTACCTCTGTGATACGTCAGAGTGCTCTTTCTCCCTTCCCAGTTACCTAGCTAACAACTTTAAACATATTGCAATTCTTCATGTTAAAATGTTCCTATTAAAAAAATTAAATAAAATGAAACATTTACCTTCTCTGAAAGTCAACTAAAAGCATTTAAATTGCTGGTCTCTCTATCTATTCAGAGCAGTTAGGCAAGCTAGAAGAATTTGGAACAACAGCCCTCTAGTGGTATATAAGTGAGACTGGGAATATAATTCTTTGTTCTTACAAGTCTTTGATTTTTTGAAAAACAGATATTAAAACTCGAACCCATTATTAAAATTATGCTTTACCTTGCCAAACTTTGATGAGAATTATATTTTAAAATACTTTTGTTCTTCTAGTCTGAATTCTAACAGTCTTCAAAGCCTAATCCTACTTCTTTTCTGAATTCCTCCCTGGCCCTTCTGACTCCCTGAATGCCATTCTCCTCTGACTTCTAGCATCACCCTATGACAGTGTTTTTTCCAAGTCTTTCCTCCCTTTTTTAAATAGACTGATTCTTAGCTTAAATGAAATCGTAACACAAAGGTCCATAAAAAAAGCTGTGCTACTGTGGCTGAAAATGGGGGTAGACATCTCTACTTGAACATCTCAGAACATGTCAAATTGAATGTTCAAAACAGAACTCATCTCTATCTTCTTGACACCAATATCTACACAGAGACTCGGGGGTCATTTTTGCTGCCACATATAATCAGCCACAATCTGACACTTCCTTGACAGCATCTATTAAGTCTCTCAATTCCAACACCGATTATAGACGTTTAGACCATGTAAGTGCACGTGAGGATTATGGGACCAGTCTGTCTTTTTCTAATCCATCCTCTATATTTTCGCCAGAGTAATCTTTCTAAAATGCATATCCAATGCTATCAATCTCCTGTTGAAATCAAGCAACTCCTTATAACCTTTGGAACGAAATTCAGACTCCTTTAGTGCTAATTTATTATAGACACCTCTAATACTCTGACCTGTGCTTACCTGTCCAGTTTCACCTCTTATTATCAGCACTCTAATCATTCATTCAGTTTTAACTATCTTTGAGTTAAATACTCTCTTCTCAAATTGTGTAAATGGAGAGACGATGGGGGCTCAGCAGATAGGTAATTTGCCCTAGGTTACACACAATCTATTGACAGATTGCTTCAACAAGAGCCTCGGCAGGAGCGAAACAGAGAGATGATCTTTGTAGACCATGGCTATATCTTAATCATCTTTGATTCGTCTGACAATTTATAAACTAAATGTCTGTTGAACAAATAAGTGAATGACTAACAATTTAGCAAGTATTATTAAGCATATTCGAATAATTTGGAAGGAATTTCTAACATAACCCAGATACTTAGAATGTCAAATATAATTAGATTTATACAGAAGCTATATCTAGAACATGGTGGGGAAAATTTCTAATATAAGGTATTGCATGAATTGAAAAAATATTTCTATTTTAGTATGTGTGAGAAGATGGGGAGTCATAAACATTTCACACTTTGATTTTACCTTCCTGGCTTGCTCCTCAGCTCTTTCTTTTTTAATTTTTTCCAGTTCTGCAAGAAGAGCTGCAGTATCATCATCATCACTTTCTTCTTCAAAATCTTCATCTTCCTCCTTAAAAAAATTAGTGATGGTCCAGAAGAATGAAGAGAAAATATACATTATTCATTTCTTTCCATAAAGACTTTGGGACATAATTACAATTTATAAATATTCACTAAAATTTCAGCCCCTGACAAAGTACCTTTCAAATGTACATGGCCAACAGAGAATTTCCATATGAAAATATTTCCAAAAATTGACAAGAAATACTTAACAGCAAGACACAGTATATATATACAGTGTTATCACCCTAAGAATCAAAATAATTTTATGTAGCACAAAATGACTTTAACCTGACAAATAAAAAAATTCAAAACAAGGGTACTAAATTCCCAGAAGAAAGTAATTTTAAATGAATAATTGTTAAAACTCACTTAAAATTGGATTTCCTACTTTAATTATTATTAGTAATGGCATCAGGCAACTCCAAAATTAACTGCTGATAGGCCAGGTATAGTGGCTCAGGTCTGTAATTCTAGGCCAAAGTGGGTGGACTACTTGAGCTCAGGAGTTCAACATCAGCCTGAGCAAAACCAAGACCCCTATCCCTACTAAAACTAGGAAAATTAGCTGGGTGTGGTGGCATGTGCCTATAGTCCCAGCTACTCAGAGGCTGAGGCAGGAGGATCCCTTAAGCCCAGGTTTTGAGGTTTCTGTGAGCTATGATGCCATGGCACTCAGCCTGGTGACAGAGGGACAGTCTGTCTCAAAAAAAAAAAAAAAAAAAAGAATTCATTGCTGACATATGCACAAATTAGATATTACCCCTAGAAGGCCACTCAGATTTTTTCACTATACTGTACATAGAAAACTACAAGTTAACTTAGAGGCTGTAGGTCCCACTGAATTTTAATGGAAATATGCTAATCCTTAAAAACCTTCTGCTTAGATTACTTCCCCTCCTAAGCATAGAGGGAATCATTAAGTGCAGTGCATGTCTACAGAGGCATCATATTTAATATGGAAAGGCCCCTGGGCACAATTCTGGAGGCTGCTATTTATAGAGAGCCCCATGTGAAGAGTGCCCTGTGGAGATTAATCACATGGCAGCCCAATCCACAAGGTTTAATACAGGAAATTATTTTGGGGAGAGCATATCCTTTAATAGATTGCTTCCATATTTGGTTCTCTAGGGAGCAAATTTGTTTCAAAGTCCTTAACACAAAATAATACTTTCTGTTTTAAAATCAACTGTAAAGTTTAGCACTGAGGTCAGGGCTACCTCTGAGTAATAGTAAGTAAAAATAAATACAGGTCACTTTTAAAGCTTAAAGCATAAAAAAGTGTTTCAGAAAAATATGGCAAATTACTGGATAGAGATAAACGGAAGGAACAAAACATACGTCTGTTAGAGGGTCATCTGCATCAAGGTTGGCAGCAGGAATCTGGTCTAACCGAGGCTTTTTGGACACTGAAGAGGAGGTTGTATGTTCTAGGGGAAAATAAACATCATTAGTTTACTGAAACAAACACTGCATTTCTTAGGCTTTAGGGCTCTGTGGGCACAAAGAGCCAACTCTAAAAGCATCATGAAAACCCATAGTGCTTGACAAATAAGCTTTTGGTAAATAATTGTTGAATGAATTAATAAAAGCATTAATTTTAACACAGAAACTGAAGCTTCACTCAGAAATTCAGGAACAGATTGTATCTAGGCTGGAAACAATATAATAACTGATGCCTTTAGATGCCCTCCCATAGCCAGTTTCAAAAAAAGGAGACTCTCATAGAAACCACGGGGTTGGCTGCTATAAACAAAGAAACACTCTTTGATCATAACTGAAATAAGTACTGCTAAATCTCCCCAGATCACTCTGTTCCTTTTAATATAGAAGTATATAAAGATGGAATATGAATGAACATTATCATCTCTAATTATTGAAGAAAGTATTACTGATCACACCCATCTTTAAAAGCAAAGAAACAAAAATACTAACTTTTCCCAATTAGCATATGACTGAAAAATTATTGATGACAGTTTTGTGAGATGATGTCTGGGATAGTGTTGGTACCTCGGGTTGGACGGTCTCTATTTTTCTCTCTTGCAGCAGCTCTCTCTCTTTCTTCCAGCTCTCTCCTGAAGTCACGGTTGCGCACCTCTTCAGGAGCATCCTGAGTTGTCTGTCTACAGTAGAAATAAACCAGGGCAACAATGTTATATAAAAGCAAAACATGTGGTTGTGGCAACAGAAGACAATCAGGAAGGCATCTTTTCCTTTAAGTATAAAAGAACTGAGTAAACAAGATCTTCATCTAATTTGAAGGTGGTTACCAGCAGGAACTCTTGTTATGTTTCTAATATTTCAATAAAGCCAAATTGAATCACATATTTTCCCATGAAACAGCAGACTGATTCATTACAATGCTTTTATTGTATCAACTCAGGCTTGTTACTGTAACATTTTCAATCCCATATTGGTTTGGCCTGATAGCCTATAGTCTCTCCGAGATAATATATCAATCTTGAACTCTTAGCTTCAAGTGATCTTCCTGACTCAGCCTCCCAATGTGCTAGGATTATAAGTGTGAGCCACTGAGCTTGGCAGAGATAATATATTAATGACTGTGCCATCTATATATAGAAATTCCTGGTTAATAGTAATTTCTGTTGAGGGGATGTCTGGTTTTAAAATCATAGAGCACAATTTTAAACACTGGACTGCATTCTATTCCCATACAAATTGATAACTTAAGTGATATAACTTAGATAACTCATGATATTATATCATAACCATGCCATAAACAGATTTGGTCATATTTTGTGAATAAGAAGAAAGTGAGTCTATATTACCTGTATTTTATCTTTGTATGAGATGGTAGGTCTCTGCTTGAATACTGCTTTGAGAGTTGGCTCAAATCACCTTCTCCTTTTCCTCTTCCACCTCTGGCAGGTTCAAAAGTTGGCCTGGCTGCTGTGGTCATCTTTTACGCTTTGGAGAAAAACAGTACCAAGTTATTTCTAATATCACAAACTCTTACTTTATAAAGCATTAATCAATATCCATCCCTTTGAAGTATGTTCCCATAGTTATTCCCCAAAACTTGCTTAAATAATCTTCTCAAACAAAACTTTTCAAGCAAATAAATTATGTGGCTTAGGCTATTCAAAGAATATGGCTTCTCAGGCAGCTTTTATTTAGTACAAAAAAATCAAGTCATGAAAATCTGATCTTATGTTCCTCTTCTTCTAATTGTGTGGCCTTCGGCGAGTCAACTGGCTTAAATTTCTGTCATCTGTGGAATGGGGATACTCCTTGTAGATACTGAGAATTATGACACTTCACATGTCAAATCCCTTGTAAAATAACACTACTGCCATGACTGAGTTTTAAAAATTCTCAACTCACTCCCACCATACACCCTAAGGTCTGCATTTTACCTAAATCTCACACGTGGCAAAAAAGATCAGTAAAAACAAAAGCTATATATACATATATTTTAAAAACCACTGACAAAGTTACTGAGTATCCTAGCGACGAGTGCTAAATTTCAATGACAATTACATAAACAAACTTCAACAATCGTTGATCTTTCTCCTGCAAAAGCTATCATAGTATAAATTAAATCTTTTGTAGATTATAATTTAAGGAATGCTCAAAAGACAGATACCTTACCTCCAAAGGAGGTGACCAAACACCAAGGTCACCAAAAACCAAGGTCTCATTTCTTGTACTACTTTCTGCTTTGAGTAGCCTAAGAAACACTACCTAGCATATTGGCTACTAAACCCTGTCAGCGTCATGAAAGCCAATGTGTGAGGAGGGCAAAGGCGCGTGTCCACAGAGAGGAAAAACAGGGTTTTCTGGCGCTAGGGGCGCCGCCTCCTACACACCTCTGGGACTGTCACTAGGGCGGCAGGCAGACCTGCCTCCACTAAGCGCCTTCCGTAGCGGGCCAAAGAGCTGCGGCCGCGCCGGACGGGCACCGGCCTCCGCCGCTGGCCCGCGCCTCTGGGGCCTCCTCCTTCTGCGCTGGGTATTCTGCCGCCATCTCCGACCCCAACCGCCCTTTCTCCGCCCACCCAGGTGAGGAAGATAGTCTGCCAGCCTCCCGAAGCTCACTTTAGCCGAGGTCCGACGCGGCAGCCCCCGCAGACCATACAGACACAATTACCACTTTCGGCTCCCAGAAGTCTCTGCACGCAAGGTAAAGCCCAGGACCCGGAAGCAAACCCCGAGAACTTTAGCCACACCTCAGAGGCGGAGGCAACTACCAATCCGCAGAGGCCAAAGTGGAAGTCGGGGTGACGTCGTAAGGGGCGGGGCTGAAACGGCCCAGGGGGCGGGCGTTTGAAATCAGTGCCTCGGAGTAGACTCCAAACATCGGTTTTATACCTTGGAGAACCAATTACTTAATGTCTCTCCCGTCTTTTCCTTCCCCGACCCCCTTCCAGACTCCATCATTCCTGTACCGCGTGGACAGCCCCGGTAGCCGACACCACGTTCCCGGCTAGCGGGAGAGAGCGTGGAAAAGGATTGCACCAAACTTCAAATTCAACGGCTCCTGCTTCCATCCTTTCTCCAGTGCTAGACCCAACAAGCCTAGGGTGTTGGGCTGCGGAAAAAACTAGTGTTTTCATTTAATTGGACATGAAGAAAGAACAAATATGTACGAGGGCAACCACGATCTTTATAAAGGTACCATTCCTGCAAAAATATTAGACTTCGAAGCTTAGGTTGTATTCGTGTTGTTGGTTAAAAAAAAAAAAAGCTTAAGTTCCAGGGGGAGGGAAGATGTCAAGGTTAGCGTTTACGACGCTAATCGTTTAGAACGGTGGACCCGACTGCCCGGAGCACGAGATAGAATTATTAAGATGGCTACTCGAGCGTTAGGTGCAGCTTTAATAAGACAACGAAAAGGAAAAAGAAAAAAAAAAAAGGCATCAGTTGTCTTTCTTCTCACTGCTATCCCCTAAAAAAAGCACTCTGAGAGCAGAGATCTTGTTTGATTACTTTGTCTTGGTATCTCATCACATAGACCTTGGGACATAGTAGCTGCTCAGTAAATGTTAGTTAAATGAAAATTCATTTTCTGAAATTTAGTTTCAAATGTAAGGAGATAACAAAATTGAACATGTAAATATTGTTCCCACTAAATTCTTTTCTTTGAAACTTTTAAATGAAAAAAGGAGTAGAAAACGCCTCTTTTGTGAAGTTCAAGGTGAAAGTCTTGATTTTTCTTATTCCTGATATTCCTCTTCCTGTCTTCCTACACATCCCAGTAAAGGATACTATCATAATAGTTACTTAAACCAAAATCTCAAGTTTCCTCCTTAACTCTTTTTCCTTTACTTTTCACATCCTGTTTATTTGCAGGCCTTCCAATTCTACTTTCAAATTTTACCTTCATTTTCACTCCATTGCCACCATCCCCATCCAAGCCACCACCGTCTCCCACCCTTAACCTCCTAATGTATTTTACTCCTTTCTTTTTTTGACCTACAATTTTAAAATAAAACCTATTGGTAATGATGTTACCTTACTGCATGAAATTCCACTACACTTAGAATAAAAATCACATTTCTTAAAGTGAGCTGAGGCCCCATAGAGTCTGGCTTCTGCCTACCTCCCTGACTTCACTTCCAATTTGTCACTCTCTAAGACACGAAGCTCTAGATGCAGTCAAGTTGGCATTTCTGTTGTTTGCTAAGTAAATCTTAGCTACTATTAATGTTATTTTTATTGTTATTATGTATCTTCCTGTATTAGAACATAAGTTCCAGAAAAGCAGGAACCTTGTCTCTTGTTCACTGGTGTATCCTTTGGCACATAATAGGTGTCAAGTAAGTATTTACTGAATGAATGAATAATGTAATATAAAGTAGAGGAGTGAAGTAACATGGCAAGATGGTGACACAATTATAGAAAATACCCACAATTTTTATGTTCCAACTGCCTGGAGTTGCTCTTTATTAATCCTTTATTAAATGGTTTGAAGTGACTCACCCCAATCCATTTAACTCTAAGCCTACTAGTCAATCTTTTAACCACTATTGTGTTCAAATAACTACCTTAAATTTCATCAGCACCAACATACAATATAATCAGTTAAAAGCTTTTGACTTATATGATCTGAAAGTATTTAGAAAAAGAGACTAAAAGGAAGTTTACTAAAAACTTCAAATTCATGCTATGAGTCAACCTTGCTGGCAAAAATCCTAAGAATTTTTATTTTAAACCTATCACCACAAAAATCTAGTTGGGTTCTTAATTCTGTCTCTCTCTTAAATTCTCCTAATTGTTTATTTCCCCCCTCTGCAGTAATATGATTTCCACATTTCCTTTTTTTTTTTGGAGAGAGAGTGTCACTTTATCTCCCTCGGCATCACAGCTCACAGCAACCTCCAACTCCTGGGCTTAGGTGATTCTCTTGCCTCAGTCTCTGAGTAGCTGAGAGTACAGGCGCCCACCACAATGCCCTGCTATATTTTTGTTGCAGTTTGGCTGGGGCTGGGTTTGAACCCGTTACCCTCAGTACATGGGGCCAGTTCCCTAACCATTTAGCCACAGGCGCCACCCACACATTTCCTTCTTTCTTCAAGTCTACAAGCGTCTTCTACCTCCTTTTCCCTAAGCAGCCTCTTTTTTGAGAGTAAATAGATCTTCTGACTCCTCTGGTAAAGTATAAGCTCTTAAACAAGGAGTTCTCATCTCCCATCTCAGTAGATGTATCAAGCTGCTTTTGACTGTGTGTGTTACTAGAGATGAGGTAGCCCAACTCCTCCCTTGTGCTCTGGGTCCAAATCCCGCCAGCTGTCTTAGTGATCAGCATTCTGCTATGTTTCCTATTGCTCATGATATAGTGTATTTTTTTTTTTTGCCGGAACTGGGTTTGAACCCGCCACCTCCGGCATATAGGGTTGGCACCCTACTCTTTTGAGCCACAGGTGCACCCCAATATACTGTATATTAACCTTAAAAATACTCCTTCATTTTAACATGACAAAGGTAGTATTTTAATTTAACGTGAAAAGAATGTTGTAGATAATAACCATGATTGTAAAGCTGTTTTCATGGCAGGAAGTAATACAGGGATTTCAGCTTCAAAGCTTACACAAAAACACCCAGAAAGGAAAAAGGAAAATGAAAAACCAAAGGAGAAATTTACTATTCTACTATTTGTGGAATCTAGAGTTTGGAAAGATCTGATTAAGTAAGAATACCTTAGAACAGCAGTCCTCAACCTGTGGGTTGCGACCCCTTTGTAACAATGAAAATACATCCTGCATATCAGATATATACGTTACAATTCATAACAGTAGCAAAATTACAGCTATGTAGTAGAAACAAAAATAATTTTATGATTGGGGGTCACCACAACATGAGAAACTGTATTAAAGGGTCATGGCATTAGGAGGCATTAGGAAGGTTGAGAACCACTGCCTTAGAGCTTTAAAAGAAATAATTAAAAAATTTATCTATATAAAAAAATAATTTTTGTTTTTGAGATAGTCTCACTCTGTCACCCTGGTAGAAAGCTGTGGTGATGTTATAGCTCATAGCAACCTTAAACTCCTAGGTTTGAGCAATTCTCTTGCCTCAGCCTTTTTTTTTTTTTTTTTTTTATATTTTTTGTAGAGATAGTGTCTTGTTCTTGCTCAGGCTGGTCTGGAACTCCTGAGCTCAAGCAATCTACCTGCCTTGGCCTCTGAGAGTGTTAGGATTAAAGGCTTGAGCCACCCCACTGTGCCCAGCCTACATAAAAATTAGTTTTCTGACAGAGATGCCAGAAGTCACTTGATAAATACTAGATCAGCAGGTAAATTTTGTAATACCTATAATATATAAAGGGTTATTACTGCTACTACTACTAACACATATAATACAAAAAATATAGCGTGGTGCCTGTGGCTCAAACGGGTGGGGCACCGGCCCCATATGCCGGAGGTGGCAGGTTCAAACCCAGCCATGGCCAAAAAATGCAAAAAAAATTAAAAAAATAAACAACCCAATTTAAAAAATAGTCAAAGGATATAAACAAGCCATTCAGTAAAAGCAATTCCAAGTCAGTAATATTCAATAAACATGAAAGACTCTTAACCTTCTTATAAGGAAAATGAAAGTAAACTAACAATTATCACAGCATCAGATCTGCATTAAACTGAAAACTTAAAACTAGCAATACAGTTGGACAGGATTGGGAGAAAAGGGCATCCCGCCAGACAGTAGGGAGGCAGTGGCTCCTGCTCATATCGTGAAAGTCAGAGTGCTGGCAGTGACCTACAGGGTTCTCCATAGTCTATCCTTTCCCTTACCTTTGACCTTAGTCACTCATTCATGGCTTTCTGAGTCACATGTCTTCCTAGTAGCTTCTCCTGCCTTAGGACCCTTGCATTAGCTTTAGCTATTTTCTTTACCAAGGCTACTATTCTTCCCCGTCTTGAATAAGTCTTTGTTCAAATGAGATCAACCAACTCTGGCAGCCCTATTTAAAATTACAGCTGCTCTCACCCTCTGTCCTCTAACATCCTGTACTTCAAATCTCCCTTATCTTGCTCTTAATTTTCACTTTAAAAATTATAATGTTATACTTAGTTACATAGCACAAATCCTCAGCCATGACACGTGTTACATTTATTGTTTCTTTTTCTGCCTCTCCCTTGTAGAATATAAATTCTGTAAGGTCAGGGACCTTTGTTTTGTTCAGTGATAAAAGCCAATAAACATTTCACAAATGAATGAATGAATTAATAGGATTTAACAGGAAAAAATTATGTTCTAATGTAAAAAGTTACCACCTTAATGTTTTATATTTTAAAGGAGAAAAAAGGAACTGACATTCTGCTAGCCTAAAATCTTGATGATTTCAGATGAAGATTAAAACAAGACCCAAAAAGATTTCCTTTCAGGAGAGAATCTCTAAATAAATCATGTGATGATCAGGTTCTATATGAACCATCAAGATTCTAAATAAATCATCCCTACCCTCAGTCCAGTCACAACTGTAATCTAATCTCTCTTCACATTCCCTAATTGAATCATTTTCCCCAACTCTAGTAAACCTCTCATTCATAAAATTATCGGCCCACACAATGTGAAGATTTTGCTTATAAATGTTTCTTTGAAGTTTTTAATAAGAAGAGTAAAAAACCAAGGCCCATGTGTCATAAATCACATTTTAAAATATAGTGTTTTATATATATTTATGTGTGTGTATGTATATGTATACACC